AGAGATTTGTGAAGACAGTGGATAGGAGAAGTTGGATGAGCTAATCCAACAGGGTGAAAGACTGACTGAGAAACAACAAGGGGATTTAAAGATAGTAATCTATAGTTTTAAGTATGTGTTTTAATGAGAGACCTGGGCGGGCTAAAGGCATAAGGCATGAGATTCAAACACCAAAAGGGGCCATAGTACATGAGTGTTGGTGTCTGGTGCCACACCATTTACAACAGACACTATATAAATAATTAGCAAAAATGTTGGAACAGGGAATTGTAGTGACATCACATAACCATAGGACTTTGCCAGTGACTATTGTCCCTAAAGCTGATGGGTCACTTAGGATTTGCCTGGGCTTTAGATGAGTTAATGCCATAGCCAAGTTTGATGCTTTCCCTATGCCTCACATGGAGGAGTTGTTAGAACGCATAGGACAGTCAAAATATATTACTACCACTGATTTGTCAAAAGGCTGTTGGCAGATCCCCGTGGCTAAAACTGATTAGGCTAAGACCGCATTTGGGACACCATGGGGACTATATGAGTTTACACGGATGCTGTTTGGCTTAAATGGGGCAGCTGCCACTCTTCAGAAGCTTATGAATCATTTATTAACACCTCATATGGCTTATGCAACCATGTGCATAGACAATATTGTAACTTATTCACAGTCCTGGGGCCAACACATCCAACATTTGAGAGCTATTCTTAAAGAGTTGAGATAAATAGGGATGGCCGCAAATCCAAAAAAAATGTGCATTGGGAGTGGCTGAAGCTAAATATTTAGGTTTTTGAGTAGGGCAAGGAGTCATTCGACCCTTGGCCAGTGAAGCAGAAGCCATAGAAAAGTATTGACCTCCTCAGACCAAGAGACAAATGAAATCTCTCCTGGGTTTGCCCAGTTACAACTGCAGGTTTATACTCCATTTTGCTGAAATAACTACTCTTTTGACTGACACGATTTAAGGTCAAATAAGAGGACCTATAAAATGAAGCATCCAAAGGCATTTAAAAGGGTCAAGAGAACATTTTGTAGTCACGTTTTAGTGGTAACACCAGATTTTACAAGACCTTTTATTCTCCAGATGGGTGCTTCAGAAACTGCAGTGGGAGCAGTGCTGTGTCAAGAGAGGGGTGGTGCAGAAAGGCCTGTTGCTAACGCAAGTAGAAACAATGTGGCTGAGAAGACATATGCCACGATAGAGATGGAATGCTTGGTGATCAAGTGGGCAGTGGAGTATTTTAGACATCATTTAATAGGAAGGGAATTTCTGCTTATAACAGATCATGCTCTGCTACAGTGTTTATATAGGGCTAAGAATGATAATGCTCGCATCATGAGGTGGGCACTAGCCTTACAACCTACTAAATCCTCAATTAGCTACAGGCCTGGTGCATCCAATAAGGTAGCTGATTTTTTTTGTCACAGTGCAAAGAGATGTCAACAATGAGTATGAAGTTGAGCAACGATAGTGAAAAGACATTGAATAAGAATAACAATGGAAGAGCAACTTCAAGGATGCCACAAGGCAACTTAGTTGCTTGAGTATGTGGCAGTGAGAAGACTGGAAGATTGGCTGCCACTGGAAATAACTTACCAGAAGTGGTTGAGAAGTTGCAGAGCAACAGGGAGATGGAGCCAGCAGCATCACAGCTGGAGAGAGAAGCCCCCGGCCCCAATCCTGACATGTTTTATGAGTGCATGATGACAGCGGTTGGCTGGGCAGAACACAAATGGCGAGAGTGTGAGCATTCAGCACTTTAAAAGTTAAGTCAGCAGGTCAAACTGTCTGCCCGAAAAGGTATAGAAACAGGGAGCTGACCTGAGCGAGGTACATGTCCGACTAAGTCATAAGCTGCTGGCAGCAGAAATGTGATATGATCCATGTGGTAGTTTAGGAATGCATGGGACATTCCATTGACATCCGGTAGGTTTTCTGTTTGTGATCTAGTTGCATCTGAATCTATAACTCCCTCTATACAGTTTTTCATAGGATACTACTTCTTTCTCACCTTTGTTCACTCTGCTCCAATATACACTCTGCTGCAAGCCAAGCCACTGTTTAATATGATTTTTATCTCCCAGGTTTCTCTTTATTGCTGGGTGGTAGAGAGGCAAAGATAATAAACCTCCTATAAGAAGCAGAGATGTCCACCTGTTTTACTTCCATTATTGGTTTTGTATTGTTTGGATACCAGTACGGAACTACAGACCAATAAAAATGAGAAAAAAATTACATTTGCAGTGTATAGTTTACGATTTGCTTTTATAGAGTATTACTTATTGCTAGAAATCTTTTCCAGTGTAGCACAGCAATTGTACAAGCAAATGTAGCAGCTTTCATGTACTTAGTAATACAAGTTTCTGTACAACCTGGAAAGTTAGCAAGATCCCAGATGAGATCTGTGCGCACCAAAAAAACTACAAGTAAATGCCCACATTCTTTTCTATTCTTGGAGAAATTCTGTGGCATCTTCTTGTGCATTTAAATAATAATTGTAATATGGCTATGAATAATATAACCTATACCATAGCACTTGTATGATATATTCTGTGTATTTTTTTTTTTTATTTCTGCACAGTTTTGTTTTGCAGTATAGTCTATCTCTTCAGCGTTGACAAGGTAATGGTAGGAAGTGGGTAGCTCTTACCCATCTAAGCTATTTTTTGACTATCTGCTTGCAAATATTGTCAGACTGGTTTCCATCCAGGTGAAGTTTTCTATCCTTTCTTTTACTTTGAGGCTTCAAAGCCCAACTTCCCCTGTAGGAAGTACTAATTAACAGTGCAGTAACAGCCATTACTAAGCTGTGCTGGTGGCACACAGTTATTTTTAGCCATTATATCACTGTAACGATGCACTATAGCAAGGGACCATGTCACTACAGCGACATAACTGCAGCATCACGGTTTTTACCCACCAATGCTACATTGCCATAGCATATTGCTATGGCAACATAGTGTCCTATTTAGATGCACCCACTGTCACTTCAAAGGATACAGAATCATAGAAAGATAGGGTGGGGGGTCATCTAGTCCAACCCCCTGCTCTAAGCAAGACCATCTCCAACTACATCATTCCAGTCAGGGCTTTGTCAAGCCAGGCCTTAAAAACCTCCAAGGATGGAGATTTCACCAGCTCTCTAGGTAACCCCCTTCAGTGCTTCATCACCCTCCTAGTGAGGAAGTCTTTCCTAATACCTAACCTACACTTCCCTTGCTGCAACTTGAGACCATTGCTCCTTGGTTTTGTCATGTGTCACCACTGAGAACAGTCTAGCTTCATCCTCTTTGTAACCACCCTTCAAAGACTTAAAGGCTGCTATCAAATCCCCCCTCAGTCTTCTCTTCTGCAGACTAAATAATCCCAGTTCCCTCAGCTTCTCATCATAAGCCCTGTGCCCAGCCCTCTAACCATTTTCACTGCCCTCCACTGGACTCTCTCCAACTTGTCCACATCCTTTCTGTAGTGGGGGGCCCAAAACTAGACATAGTACTCCAGATGTGGCCTCACCAATGCAGAAAGAGGGGAATAATTACTTCCCTTGATTTGCTGGCAATGTTCCTACTAATGCAGCCCAATATGTGCTGTTAGTTTTCTTGGCAACCAGGGGACACTGTTGACTCGTATTCAGTGTATTCTCTACTGTATCCCCCAAGTCCTTTTCTGCAGAGCTGCTGCTTAGCCAGTTGGTACCAAGCCTGTAGAGGTGCATGGGATTCTTCCATTGTAAGTGCAGGGATTTGCATTTGTCCTTGCTGATCCTCATGAGATTTCTCTTGGCCCAGTTCTCCAATTTGTCTAGGTCCCTATGGATCCTAGTCCTACCCTCCAATGTACCTACTACTTCCCCCAGCTTGATATCATCTGTGAACTTGCTGAGGGTGCTCTCCATTCCACCTTCCAGATTGTTAATGAAGATATTAAACAGAACCAGCCTAGGACCAAACCCTGGGGCACTTTGCCACTTGATACCAGATGCCAGCTAGACGTCAAGCCATTGAACCCGATGATCCAGCCAGCTTTCTATCCACCTTACAGTCCATTCAATCAACTCCTTAATGTGCTTGCAAGAATGCTGTGGCAGACCATATGAAAAGCCTTGCTAGAGTCAAGGTATATCATGTTCACTGCTTTCACCATATCCAAAGAGCCAGTCACCTCATCATATGTCTGCATCAATGGAATCAATTGACTCAAGCTAAAATAAGAGAATATGACCACATCACAAAATAATGATCTGCCCTAGGCTGTCCATCATGGAAATTGCTTTGACTTTGGTCCCATCCAACACATATGCACATGCACATGTGTGTGTGTGTACTGGAGTGTTGGGGAAGAGCGGCCATTATATCTGGATCAGGGAGCTGTGTTGTTAACAATAGCAATTAAGCTAGACCTCAGGATATCCTATGACAGGCATAAATCATGCAACAGACTTGTCTCTCTAAGCCTGTATTTTGAAGCACACATCTAAGTGACATAGTTTCTCCATGCTTGGAAACTTTCAAAAGCAGGTAAGACAGACACTTGGCTAGGATGGTTTAGTTGGGGATGATTATGCCTTGAGTAGTGGGTTGGACTAGGTGACTTAGAAATCACAGGACAGTAGGGCTTCAGAGCGTAGATCCCATGATGGACCCAGCAGGCCATGGTAGAACCCAAGAGGCAGGACTGCTTTCAGTTAAGCCAGCCTTTCTAACTCATATCGAGGACAAAGCTGGACAAAACCTTCTCAGTTCAATGAAAAGTTCAAACCCCTGCAGGGATCCCAGTGTGGGTCTTGCATGTCCCAGAGGAGTGCCCTGTCCATCAGAAAATTGGTGGGAGTATCTCTCTTTTTTGTGTAAAAGGAATTTTCCAGCCTGCTCAGCTGTAGAACAAGATGTCCAGGTCTGTCCAGGCTCCTTTTTGATGCACTCAGGTGTATACTGGTGGTAAATGTGGCCTCCAATATTCCTCCCTATAATGAAGTGTTTTCGTTCCTTTAGCACCTGGCTCAAGCACAGTCTCATCAACAATTCTGGGCTCTCACCAGATACTCAGTGGAGTGAAATTAATCTAACATATTAACATGTTTGCTTTTCTCTAATTTCACCCTTCAGAACCAGCTGTTGAAAGTGGTAGCCTGTTGGCCACTTCCATCCCAGCAATATGGATTGCCCAGCATTAGTGCAATCATTAGAGCTTTAATTGCACCATTATCTCTTGCTAAAAGGGTCCTGACAACTCAGGGCAGAGCTTCTGAGGTGCAACTACAGGCTGAAAGTGAAATGAGATGGAAACTGCAAACTGTTGCTTCTATCTTAACTCTCTTAAAGACCTGTTGATGCTACCAGGGAAGATTTAATGTGCCCAGGCAGCAAAAAATTTTGGGCAAGGGACTGTTGAGGGGGTGGAGCTCTGACTAACTCCTGTGTCATTTGAGTTAATATAAAGGATATAAATATGGCAAATGAAGGATGTGGAAGTTATAAGGAAACACGCTCTGAGCAATATTCACTTCTCTCACTTCCACTCACTAAGGTAAGCTGATTTTCTTTTCTTTTAGGTTTCCTCTCCACCTCTTTTTTGCAGTTCAGCTATTTTCTAAGTGAGTATAATGAAAGGGGTTGGCTTGACAGAGAACGAACGAAGTTTGTCTGTAGCATAGATACAGCATAAGAAGTGAGTTTCCCACACTGCCCCACCTGTGAGCCTCACTACTCTGCCATGAATGCGCTACCTGTAGAACATGTGCTGCTAGAATGATCACTATCTAGGCCCTTTAGTCTTTGGAGTTTCTGCTGAGACAATAAGCCATCAAGTGTTGGTAGTGATGGAGGTTTTGTAACGTGCAGAATGGAAGTGAGCACACCAACATGGCAAATTTAACCTCTGGGCTCTACATAAGGTCTTTCTTGCATGCTTTTTCTCCATGGATTTCTTGTTTGGGGTACCCAGATGGAAGGGCAAAAAATCCTAGAGGGGTTCAAGAAAACAAAATGGTGATTTCTATTTTGTTGGGTAAGGACAGCTAACTTTTCTGAGGATGTCTGTTGCTCTTCTGTTGTCTCATTTCTGCCTGGAAGTCAGACCTTTCGTAGGGTTTGAAATACATGTCCACATTCCCAATTTCCTCCCCATCAGGAACCTGAGTTTAGTTCCTCAGTTCTTTCCTCCTGCATGGATGCAATTGCCAAAGACATGAGCAGAGATTTCAGTCTCTGTCTGCTAGGCCCAGGGTAGATCCTTTGCACCTGGCTATAGGCACTGTGTTAACAGAGAAGGGATAGTGATGAGCGAAGTGGCAGAGCAGGCTTTGCAATCAAAATGATATCCAGACTCATACTATGATGGTATCACACCTGTGACTATTTCACAGAGCAACTTCTGGTGAACTTGCATATGGTTTGCAATCCATTCCTCAAACATTTTGCCAGAAAGATTCTATCCTCACTGTTGTCTGTCCTGTTTGGAGTTAGAAAGTGTAAGTCGAAGTGCCTGTAATATGGGGAGGGAATGCTACATAATAAAAATACCCCTAGCAGTTGTGGTTAGGCATATTTACATGCGCTTGAAGGTGGAGGAGGTTGGGGAGGAGAGAGCTGCTCTAATTAAAGTGCCCACAGTGTTTTATGTATTCAGTATCCCGCACTTCAAAATGGTAGCGAGTGCAGTTTAACTAAAGCTCATTCAATGAGCTGTAGTTAAAGCTCCCCTGCCACCATTTTGAAGCACGGAGATGCTGAATCCATGAGACATTGATGCTGCTGGAGCATGCTAATTAGCACACTGCAGCAGACCTGATTATTCAATTAATCGAGTCTACTCCGATACACTTTAATTACAGTCTATGGAACAGCATCCCTGCATGTCTACAGGCACCTGTTATGAAATGAGGTGGAACCTGACATGGTTCAAGGAAAACTGGGAGGAAGCAGAGAGAACAGGAAACAGCTAGTGCTAACTTTGTTCCCCCATCAAAATGCCTCCTTTGCAATGATTGTTAACTCTTCAAAACCCTAAACCCAAGCACATTTCAAAGTGAACCCACAAATGTGCCTGTTAGCAACTAACTTATGATGAGGGAGGGTCTCTGTCCTAGGATAGCATAGTGGGTTTTAATCTCTCCCCCCAACCCTAAGTTCTGATTGGCATATCATATCCCAGGCATGCCCATCTGCTACACTGTGTTTTTGATCTCACACCTCGGCTTGTTTAACTCAGGGGAGGACTCTTTACTTTTCTACTGCTGGATATGTACAGCAGCACTGAAAGTGACAGGTGACCATATGGCTGACTACAGCAGAGGGCAACAAGGAAGAAGAAACGAGGAGCACAGCCTACAATATGGCCTACATAGACATACTTTGGGAAACAAACCCAGGCATACTTGTTCTGTGAAAATATATAGAACACACAGAGAATAGCTTAGGAGATTGGAAATGAGGTACCATCTTTTGCCTGAAAAGGCAGACACAAATATCAGTTGCTGCAGTAATGATCAGAACCTATGAAATGAATTGGTAGTTTCTGTCCAATTCCAAGTGAATAGAGAAAGGGGGTATCCATGGCAGGTACTCTCCTGTCCAGCTTTCTTCTGTTCAATTTCAAATGTGCAAGCATTCATCAACTTATTGCCATTAGAAAGCATCCTTATGGCAGTCTCAGAAAAAGCCAAGAGCTGAACAGCCACATGTGGAACCTGAACCACATTGGCAACCTACTGTCCATGGGCTGGATATGGCTCTCCAGAGATTTGCAACCAAAGGCAGGGGCAGGGTTGCAAGCTCTTGCTTGGGGAAAAAGCATGTTAATGACTCCTGCTCCAGATTATGGCTGAAGTTACTTGTACCAGGGATGCATGGTGGAGGGGATGGGGAGATGGGGTTCAGAGGAGACAGCTGGCACTGACCCAGAACATGCTAGATCTGTTTTGAAGGTAAGTGGCTGCTGGCTCTCCCAATCAGATTCATTTTGTTTTTTTCATGTTTTGGGATTAACGTGGCACCAAAACAGGGCACTATTCAACTCAAGAGGTCTCTTTCTTAGAATGAGGTGGGACCAGGGGAGATTAGCATAACATGGCTAACATAAGTGGCTAGGAGAGAGTCACCACAGAGTAGGAAGGTCTGCTGCTCTAACAATACAACACACCTTTCCACCTATTGTAGGCAATAGGGCTGGGGTTTTCACCTGACTGCTATGCTAACCCAGGATTTGGGGAGCACATAGGCTATCTTTGTGTGCCTCCTCTGAACTCTCCTGTATTTTGCTGATAAGCGGGGCTGACTAGCTTATTACACACTGCAGCATTTGTGGTCCAAGCAAGCTCCTAGAGAAAGGGGTCAAGAGACGCTAAATTAGGCAAAAGGCCTTTTGCAGCTGGCTGGGTTCTATACTAGTTACAAGCTGTTAAAATTGCTATTAACTTACGGATACATGGGAGGCTCAGATGTTTTCCTGATGCTCAGGTTCATAAAGCACCCTTTCCCTCACTAATTCTGTCACATCTTTAAAGGGTTTCATCTACCTCTTCAAAGTGAATCTGCAGCCAAATAAGTGAAAGGATGACAGCATTGTTCTACTAGTATCTCCCTGCTTCATTTTTCCCTTCTCTCTGCTTTTCCTAGGCCTCACCCCTCATCCCACCATGGCTCTCTGGATCCACTCACTACCTCTCCTGGCCCTCCTTGCTCTCTCCAGCCCCAGCGTCAGCTATGCTGCCGCTAACCAGCGCCTCTGTGGCTCTCACTTGGTGGATGCTCTCTATCTGGTGTGTGGTGAAAGGGGTTTCTTCTACTCTCCTAAAGGTCGACGGGACCTTGAACAGCCTCTAGGTAGGTGAATCCTTCCCAACTGTCCAGCTGGGCTCATCTCGGGCTTATATGAGCACATTTGACTTTTAAGCATGCTTCTCTGTAATCAGTAACTTTTGTTTTCTGCACATATATTTAGTAAAATTATTGCTTAATCATAACAACAGACTTCCTATGATAGCGTGGCCTGTGAGAAAAGGGGAAGAGCAAGTTGCTGGAGGGCAGAAAATGATGGCCCAGCAAGTCTTGATGTTTCCACCTCTCTTCCAGGAAGCCATGCTGAGACATCAGCAGCCCCCCATAGGCGTACAAAGAAAGGAACTAATGTCTACAGTGTCTTTATATCGCAGTAGTGCCTAGAAGCCCCAGCCATGGCTCATGAGGCCATTATTTTAGGCACTGTATAAACACATAAAAGTAATGTTGCAGCTCCAAGGAGCTGATAATGCTAACATTTCACAGCCAAATGACCCTGGGTTAGAGGAGCACTACAGCCACTTCCCAGAAATATGTATAAAACATGCATTGAGTCATATAACAAATGAAGGATTTTTGTTCAAACCAAGGCTGGCTGGGTGGTGTTGTAAGAAAAATGATGTGCTACTATGCAGAAGGAGTGATTGCTAAAGACTCACTTATTGTCTCCTCTGCCTTAGCAGAGGCTGGAAAAAGTGCCACTCACTCCCCATTCTGAGTGAGGTTAATTATCATGTCTTGCCACTAGGCTGACCTGCAAGTGGTTTTTACCATCACCAGAACTATCCTCAGCCAGCTGCCTGGGCACAGAATCCTTGAAGGAAAGAGAGGTGGGGGAAGCATCCATTAGTTCATCTAGACGTAGTATGGGTCCTGTCATGTATTGGGCACAGTGGAGTAGTTTTTCAGCCCAAGAGTCCAGGGGACCTGTAAGAAGCACCATTGTACTGAAATTAGTGACTTGCATGAGCAGAAGAGCCATTGTAACATTAAGATAGTGGAAGTGCTTTTTCCTGCCTGTCCTGTTTAACTCTGAAAGGATTGTTTGGAAAATTTTGATTGGAATGAAAAGCCGTTTGTGCTAGGTGCTTTACAAATATAAGAAGCATGGAGCCCCAAAGCCCTTACAGTTTAAATAATAAACTCATTATAAAGAGCCAGGAGCAAAACTAGTACACCAAGAAAGCTGGTAAAAACAAATTGACCCATTTAAAATTTTGTTGTTAAAAAAAAAAGTTTCCTCCCCTCTCACTGAAAATTTTCCTTTAGGTAAAAAATTTCCATATTGTTAACTGTAAAATTGAAAAACAAATATTTCTAGTGAAGAATTTTGAGTTTTGCATCAACAGCTCAGAACATTTTGTCAAAAACATTGCATAGTGTCCCAGCTCTGTCATTTCTTGTGACAATTTTCACTCCACATCCAAACCTATCAGTTTGTGGCAAGCTGTAAACTGCACGCAGGCTGTTCAGGAGCCAAACATGAAACCCATCCCACCTCACAACTCAACGGAGTCAGCAGTTTTTTGGGCAACAAAATTGTTTGCTCAGGTTCACAGGATAATGACCCCTCATGAAGTTTGTAATTCCACCTATCTCACCTCCATGGAACAGACAAGCCATTTTACAATCCTATGAACTAGCTAGAGTCATCAGCTGAGACTACAAGGTTTCTCTCCATCGCTACACATCTTCCCCACTGTGTCTTGCACACCATCCTGTAGTATGGCCAACACTTACAAGATTTGGTTCCTCTCATATGCTCCAGAACCCTGTTGGGACATGAAATATGGAGCCTCTGTGTGCTATGGTGATACAAACAATATTAATAAGGGGAAAATATTTGCAATTATTTCCTCATTTTTCAGCCATCTCTAGGCAGCAGGTATTGATCTCTAGACTGCATGGTCCCAGCTGAGATGCTCGTGTATGGATTCACATGAGTTTCTTTTTATCCCTGACAGTGAATGGGCCTCTGCGGAATGAAGTGGAAGAGCTAGCATTCCAACAGCAGGAATATGAGAAAGTGAAGAGGGGAATTGTTGAGCAATGTTGCCATAACACCTGCTCCCTTTACCAGCTGGAAAACTATTGCAACTAGCAAAATGATGCAGACTGAAAGGAGACTGTGTGTGTATATATGTGTGTGTATCTGCATGTGTGCATGAAAGAGGCAGAAAGGCACTTTGGAACGGCACCTTCAAAGCAACTGAATAAAAATGCTGTAAATCTTTCAGAGGGTGTGGTATTCTTGATATATTTGCCTCTGGAGCCTACAGCAAGTTTTTCTCTGGAGTTCAGAGTTTGTAAACATCTTTATGGTCCCATATGCTCAGTATGAAAGGTCATCCATTATGAGCCTAGTCTAAAAAAGCCCTGAAATCAGAGAACACAGTATTGAAGTAGACATGTCCACTTCAGTATTAGAGGTCACCATCAGCATTTTAGTGATGGGAAATGAAATGAGAAGTGATGCAAACTGACCCAAAGCAGATAGTGATTTTTACAAACTGTGTTGGTTATTGAAAATATTTGACACTTAGTGCATATAACACAAACTTCAGCCAAAGTAGTTCCCCTGGACTGCCTGTTGTGAGTGCTCATTGATTTTTTCCAATGTTCAGAATTTGCTGTTTGAGCTGCAGTACGTGTGGCACATGTTCCTTGATGGGATTACCTGACCTTTATAGCAAACTCCTGCTTCCAATCAAAGCACATTGTTGCCTCACAACATTCATTTCATTTTGTAGTTAATCAGATTTTAGCTACAGCTCTGAAATTCACCTAAACCCAGCTGCCTCTGGTTGGTAAGATTAACAAGGTTAACTGAGATTCAAATGCTGTCTGCTTGAGGAGAGCGTTCCTGTCTTGTTTTTGCTCCCAGGTACGTAATGTTAACTCCCTCATCTCTTTTCATGGGGCAACACAACGTACTCTCTACACACACCTTTATCCTGCTGCAGTACTGAAATTTCAGTGCTGGAAATGGCACCTTCTAAAGGATATATATTCTCTGTGGGTAAAACATATGGATTCATCCATTTTAATCCCCTTCTGTGTCTCTACCAAAGCGCTCTTTCCCCTCCCTCTAGCTAATAAAAGACACTTCATTCTTCCTTTGGGAGATAGATTTTGATCATTTCACATGGAGCACTGCATGTGAAGAAGACTCCCAGGATGCAATCAGACAGACGTACACATTTTCCCTCCTGACCTGGAACAAAACTGTTGTAAATAGATGTAGATGCTCCATCAAACCCTTTCAAAGCCGGATGGGCTCAGAAGCACAGCTTTCATGGGCTGCGTTCCACGTACTCATGCCTCACCTCCTGCCCTCAATGCCTTTTCCTAGATGGTAGCCTAAAAGGTGCCAGGAGTCCTGCATCCTGGCAAGTGACAGCAGTAACTCAAGTATCATATATTCCAGGAGTACAGTGCGTACCTCCACTACAGACACAACCAGTTGAATGTGGTGACAAGTTTCCAGATTGTGTGGGTGCAGTGGCTTTGCTGCAAGTAGGAAATGCATGAACATTTCATGGGGAAGCCAAAAACATGAGCGCTTCCTCTCAGCTGACGTTTCTTTATCTTTATTTATGCACCCCCATACATGTCTTTATTAATCTTTGCCAGGCCTCTGTGAGGTAGGAAAGTACTATTACTTTCCCCATTTTACAGGTGGCAAACTGAGGCTCAAAGAATGAAAACTTGGCTTGAGTGACAACTTCTGTGGTCTTCAGAAGGGCCTGGATTTCAGTCAAAGAGCTTATGCAACTTGTGTGAGGTCATGCACAAAAGGCTGTGGTAGAAACAGGAACTCAAACTAAGTCACTGGAATGCTAGCCCTCTGTCTTTAATTTCCCAACTATTTTTTTTCTGTGCCCCTTCCTGAGAATCATCCCCCACTCCTGGACTGGAACTCTCTGGCCTTCTCCTGGAGAACATTTCCAGCTATGGTTTCTGCAGTGGTGATATGGAGACTAGGGCCAGAAGCTTGAGGTTGGGAAAATAGGGGAAGAAGTTCATGCTGCTGCTGATTTCAAGACACCCGAATCCTTGTCTCCAGCCAAGGCTCTCAGTGTATCAGTTCATTAGTTTCTAGGGAAAACCCCATGAAAGCAACTTATCATAGCTCCAGTAATGCCCAGAAAGATCAGCAGGATTCACATTGTTACAATAAAAATACCAGAGCAATTACTAATGATAAGGCTGTTATTTAATTAAACTCAGGCCTTGAGCATAGGCTCCAGCAATCACACATTCTCCATCAAGCAAAAAGAAGAGCTATACTGAGCCCACAGCTAGAGGGGAGATACTGAGGCTGATTCCATTTATGATTTGGGGAGGCAGAGAGTCTTCCTGTGGTGGCTGGTCCTGCCTTTGAGTGTTGGCTTAGAGGAGGGCAGAGCATTTTTCTTAGAGAGAGAGACCAATCTTGTTCCCTGCTTCTAAGACTCTTGTCCAAGGTCAGTTTGCAACCTGGAATCATGTTGTCTTGCACTAAAATCCTGTAATTCTGCAGGGTTTTGTTGGAAGACCACACCAAGTGATGCAGAAAGTGGCAACAGTCATTCAGTAGGTGGCACTCTTTCCTTGGAATAAGAACTGAGGGCACATCACTGCTGCTAGGTGTACTATCCCTTCTGGGGCATAAACTGGGATGCGGGCCACTTACTCTTTTTGGCAGCAGCAGATACACACAGTTTTACCAGACTCCCCCCACCAAGTTTATCATGGTGCTAATGCGGGTGTGATATTATTTACTGCTCTACATGGTATTGCACGTGGGCGGCTGCATGAAGACAACTCTAAGGTGAGATGTCAAGCCCCCAGGGGCTTGGTTCTTCATGAAATACACTCCAGGCCATGAAGAATCCTCCAGCCCTGGTTCCCCAAACTCTTCAAGCACTCTCCCCAGTTTTCTGGCCATATTCCATCCCATTGCAAGCCTGAAACCCTACCTCATTTCTCTCCCCTTGCCCACCACTGGCATGAGATTGGAGCACAACTGCTATTTAATCTTGCAGGTGAAAGCTAAATCAAAGGGCTCTGCAAAGACCCTCAGACTTTCTTACAACAATGTCCTTGTGACACTGTGGAAGAGATTACTTGACTTGAATATTTGCTAACCAAAGTGCTGTCCAGCCTGGACCCTCTTCATTGGCCCTGACCCTCAAAGTCCCAGAAATCCTTTCTTTACTGCCCCTCTCCCAATGTAGGATCCCCCTCACTGTTACAATCCTGGTGTCTCTAAGACACTGAACCAAAGGTTTTCTCACCAGTTTCTACTTCCTTCCTTCCTTCTTCCCTTTTTACCCCCCTTTTCCCTACAGCCACCTTGGAAGAAGAGAGACTATGAGAAAAAACAATACCTAGGCTAGTCCATCAGCTATCAGATACCTGTGATTACAGTCCTGTGCATATATGCTGGCAGATTTTTGCCAGTGCTCATTCAGTAAAAAATCCAAGGCAACTGCACAGTCTCAAGGCCCTAAATATTTTGTTTAGGCTCCTTTGCTAGTTGCTAGAGGGGACTTTGTCTATTTGAACCACTGGCATTGTGCTGACACTTATCTGACCTGGAGGAAAAGAATGTCTCTGTTGTCACTAGCTGTTTGTGTTACAATAACACCTGGAAACATCAGTTGATCAGGACCCAGTTGTGCCAGGACCTGTACAAATGCGTGCCAAGAGAGTGCAGGAGTGCCAGTACTGAAAGTACCTTGCAATATAATTAGATACAACAAAGAGGAAGCTTTTACTATTTTCTCCATATTTCAGATGGGGTAATGACCCACTAAAAGAGGCTACCTGAGGTTGCAGAGGAAATGCATCAGAAATTGAAAGCAAAATCTGTTTCAGTATCTTAATCATAAAAATTATTTATTCTTCCTCTTAATTGTTCCTCTTTTGGCTGGTGCAATGGATACTTCATGTTAGGTACAGGGCTTAACATGTTGCTACTTCCCAGAGCAACATCTGTTGAATGTCACTGGATAGTTCCTGTAGCTGTATGTTTCAGATAGTTAAAGGCATACCCCTTTATCTCAGCTCAGCACTGGAAAAAGTGGTGGTATTCTGCAGGTTCTTGTATTTTGGGTTAATGTAAAAGGTGATCTGTAACAGAAAATAATAATAATAAAAATCAAAGTTTGTGACCTTTTATTTTTGTAGTATATTGAAAAGAGTTGACTTTTTTGGAAATTGTAATTTTTTAATTAAGAAATTCCAGAGCTCTTTCCCACTGTTTCTCTGAATTTATATTCAAGGTAACTTACACTGATTTCACTTCAGTTAACCTGGGGTATAGCAATGATGAATAAAACCCATGTCTTCCAACTTTTATTTGGAGACCTAAAGAGCTCAGTGTTTTTTTCTTAACTTTTTATCAAGAATTTGACTGAAATGAGTCTTAGACAATTTGAAAAAAACCCACAAAAAACAAATCAGCCATTGCATTATTCATGTGTCAATCTATCAGTTCACCAAATGTCATAATACCACTGGATCTTCTCTACTTTACTGAATTCTCCAGCATTCAGAAGGTAGCCAAGACCAGGTGTTTCTCCTGAGAGAAAAATCACATGCAAGAAACATAGCAACAAGAACAAAACATCTCAACCTTTCTTCAGATATCATTTAAGAATACAAAGAGAAGAATAAATGCAATTATTTGTTTTCCTTTCTGGTAACCTCTTAAGCTGAGTTGATCAAAACTTAGAATTTCTGTTTGGGGGCAAATACTGAAATTTAAAAAAAATCCATTTTGCAGTGAAAACTAGAATTTAAAAAAATGCTTATGGGAGGAAAGTTCCAATTTTTGTGTATGTGTTAGAGAAATCATGTTGTTTTGGTGTAGTTTTTATTAAATTCAATAATGATGGCCTGCACTCAAGCTGGGGTACCTAAGGTTTCCCAGCTTCCTGGGGTCCCTACTCTGAGGGTCATGGTTGAGATTTGCTATACTAGACATTCTGTATTTCTGAGTAGAACTTTATGCAAACTGGTGTCAAACCAGGCAGGTCTCTAATGGACTCCTTCCCTTGTTTTGGCAAAAAGTCCATCAAAGTCGATAAGTTTTTGCTCAAAGTGCCAGACAAGTCTTCCAAAGATGGAACTCTTGTTTAGCATCAGATATATACCCACAATGTTCTTCATCACAGCCAACACGTTCCTAAAGCATAACAGGTCCTTGCTTACCCTGCTGATAAGT